AACTTTGCAGGGGATGGGGCTGTGGAATTTTACACCCGGCTCCCAGAACAGTTTGGAAAATGTGATCTTCTCAGCCATGTTTTGTATCCCCACCTGCCCCGTGTTCACCTGGGCCTAGAGCCATCCCCTGCCCCATGGGGCAGGGGGTCTGGCCAGGCTGTGCTGGAAGAGGCTCTGCAAAGCCATGGCACCACTGGGAATCTGCCGGCGGGTTAAGGTGGTCTCTCGCAGCAGGCTGTGAGGAGGGGTGAAGGACAGGGGAGAACAGCACCGCTCCACGCTGGAATCAGGGTCCTCAAATCCAGGCCCTGTGGCCAGCTGGGGCAGGGCGATGGCAGCTGAACTGGAGACCCAGGTGCCCTCCTGAACAAGGTGGGGCAGTCAGCAGGCACCTTGTGACTTCAGCTGTGGGATCAGCTCCCTGCAGTCCTGGCTTTGGGCTCCAGCTCCGCCTGTGCCCCCTTTAGCCCTGCCCTGGGCTCCCCACACCCTAGTCCCAGCCTGCAGCCGCCTTCACCCCCAGCTGTGTCCAGGCACCTCGGTCCTTGTTCTCTGGGCTGAGTTGCGCCCGGCTGGGTGCGAGCGGGGGGGGCGGACTCATGGGTTGATTTCTTGCTATTGATCCTCTGGCTTTGGGGTGATTCCAGGTGCGGAGTCGGCCAGCACAATGCCGGAACCGTGAGTAGCAGCACTCCCCTTTGCCTTGGGCTGAGCATGGCACGGCCACGTTCCGTGTTCCCAGCTTCACCCCCGCAAACCCAAATCGCCAAACGGTCACACACGAGGGATTTCCACCTGTTCTCGTGCAACACTTGCACCTGTCAGATTGCCCAACGGAGCTACATACTTGCACACGTGAAAATGCCTTGCACACGTTTTCCCCCATCCCGGGCTGTGCAGAATACCATGTGCTCCCCAGCCGCCAGCAGCTAGGAATCCAAGCCTGGAGACAGATTCAGCCCTTGAGAGCTGACAGGGCACATGTATTCACACAGATTGGCACTAATATGCACGGGCTCAGATGATGCCACGTGTTTGCACACGCACGGTGTGTGCCCTAGTGATCAGAGAAGAGCCTCACTAGATTAAACTCCTTGGTCTTATCCTGCAACTCTGCCACTGCTTTGCAGTGGAATTTTGGGCAAGCCCATGCCTTAGTTTCCCTGCACGTACAATGAGTCTACTATCGCCTACCTGAGGCAGGTCTCATGAGGTTTGCTTAGTTAATACCTATTATTGCTGGGAGTTCCTTGAATTTCAGTTTTCACACACATGCAGATCCGGCTTTACCATTGCTTTGCAATTCTACTACAAATGCCGAACTAGCTAAGAGTTGGATCTTTAACTGCCATAAACCAGTGTAGCTCCATCAGCTGTGTTCTGGGCCAAAGAACACAGCTTGTGGCATATTTTGCATGCAGCAGCAAAGAGGTCACCCTCCACCTTGAATTGCACCGCTTCTCTGGGTGTTTCTTGCATTCTGTCTATTAATTGTTTTGTTTTTCCCCCCTTCTTTTCTTCTGTGTGAATGACCAACTGCAGGGAGGTAAGTGCTTCTGGGTTTCTTTCTCTGCGCGAGATCAATACATTAAGGAGCGTTTTCTGTAGTACGTTTGCATGTCAAATGTCTTTTCTTTTGTCCTTTTGCGGTGTAGAGAAAGTCCAAGATCACAGCTTCACGCAAACTCATGCTGAAGGTGAGTGCCGTGGAACCTGTCCTGACTGAGACAGTAAATCAGGTCTGGTTAAAAGTGTTGGTGCTGAACTGCGCAACGAACATTTCTGTGACTAGACAACCCCTTTCCAGCTTGCCAAAGGCTTTATGGAGAGAAAAACTCGGCTTGCCACTTGGGCCAGCCCTGTTCCCGCATGATCCTTACAATTGTAACAATTGCTCAGGACTTCCGAGTCGGAAATGTAACCCGCCGAGGGTACGTGGGGTGCCTAGGGGCTCCGCTCTGGCAGGAGCTGGCTGAGCTGCAGCAAAAGCCAGCAGGGAGCATGGCCGTGGGTTGCAATAGGACCACGCCTATAAGAAATGTGAAGTTACTGTCACTGCTGGTAACATGCCCCTGTCCCCCAAGTTCTCAGCATGGATTGAATTTGGGATCAGCAGCATTGAAAATGAAGGTACACATCACCTGTGGTGCAGAAGCTACTCCATCCATACCAGTAGGGTCTTAGGCAGAGCAGCTGCTAAGGGGGAGGGAGAGCCAGTGTGTCACATACCTAGGCTTGGCAGAGTTCCATTTTGATTTTTTTGTCATTTTTGATGGATAACATCAGTGTTTAATTTTAAAGCATTTTTATTCTGTTTTTATCAATTTCCATGTGGACAATTGTGGGAAATTGCAGGGGGCGGGGTGTGAGAAAAGAGGGAAGGGGCTCTGACAATAACGGGTTTAGGACAGGAGACAGCTTCTATATGGTAACACTTTGTAACAGTTAAAACGCGAATTTGGCAACCGCACGTCGAAATATACAAAGGAAATCACCTACAATCAAGCGCTCAGGGTACAGCTGTCTGGTTTTGCCTAGCGGGAAAATGTCGGGGATTATTGGTGGAAGTATTTGTCGTCGGTTTGTGAGTGCGTGAGGAAACTGGCCTTTGCCCACAAACGGTTACTCCTTCCAAACCTACACGTCTGCGGGCACCCAGGTTGTGTTTCCTGAGACAAGGGGCGTTTCATATACAACCGGGTGGCAGATGCTCCGTCCTTGGTCAATAATAATATAAATAAGTTGTTTAGTGCCAATGGTACACAAGGCACCTTGCAGACAAGACAGAGAATCATAGAACCCTAGAACTGGAAGGGACCTCGAGAGGTCATCAAGTCTAGTCCTCTGCCCCTACGGCAGGACCAAGCACCGTCTAGACCATCCCTGACAGGTGTCTGTCCAACCTGCTCTTAAATATCTCCAGGGGTGGAGATTTCACAACCTCCCTGGGCAATTTATTCCAGTGTTTCACCACCCTGACAGTTAGGAACTTTTTCGTAATGCCCAACCTAAACCTCCCTTGCTGCAGTTTAAGCCCCTTGCTTCTTGACCTATCCTCATACTCCAAGAAGAACAATTTTTCTCCCTCCTCCTTGTTAAGACCCTTTTGGGCACTTGAAAGCTGCTAACATGGGTTCCCAAACTGGGGGGAGTGCCCCCTTGTGGGGGGGGGGCGTGAAGAAATTCCGGGGGGGCACGAGGCGATCCAGGCCCTCCCTCCATCAATCCCCCCCTCCCCAAGCTTTGCTGCTATTTTTGTTTTTCGGCCCTGGTCAGTTCTTTTTTTTTCTCAACAAGTTTTAATGCTTTGGGGGGGTGGGGGAGCATGAGGGTTTCTCAAAAATCAAAACGGGGGCGTGATGCTGAAAAGTTTGGGAACCACTGATTTAGATTGATTTAAAGGAGGCAGGATAGAACAGGAGAAAGGGAAATGTGGGAACCACTGTGCTCTCAGGTCTCCTCTCAGCCTTCTCTTTTCCAAACTAAACAAGTCGAATTCCTTCAGCCTTGACTGGTTCTGGGGAAGCGTATTTGCTGGAAGGAGCAAACGAATGCTTGCTGAGAGCCAGCACGTGCGTCAACGCCGGTAGCCTGGGAAAGCAAAGCAGCCACAGATTGTCCAGCCTCTCCCCATCCTCTGCCTCCTGCCCCCCCCCCTCCCCCAGTTTATCACACACCATGCATTTAATTGTGCCAGCAGCAGCATCTTACCCTGGATGGTAGCCAGGCCCCGGAAGACACGTCCTTGTGGCTGTGAGGAACCTGCAGGTTCCCTGAGCTGTCTCCATGCACTTTGGTAGCTCCTGGCCTTGTGCCCCTGTCCTGGGGTGGTGGCTGGGGGGGCTCATGGCGTGGCACCCCAGCTCAGGTCCTGCTTGCCTGCTGTGTGCTCCAGAGTTTGATGCTGGCCAAAGCCAAGGAGGCGTGGGAACAAGACCAAGTGGACAAGCAGGGGGAGAAGGAGCGGTACTTGGCAGAGCGGATCATGCCGCTGCGCACCAGTGGACTGTCCTTCAACCAGCTGCAGGTAGGCCCGCGTGGGGCTCCCGATGGCCACAGGGACCTGCAGGAGGGGTCTGACCGCCTGAGACAGGGCCCTGCCAGTCACTTGGGAACGGGTCACTCTGGGCAGCGACAGAGGCTGTGGCAGGGGAACTGGGAGCACTGGGGTGGAGGGTGATGGTGCTTTCTCCGGGACACGTTGGCCACTGAGATTTCAGGGCTGGTGGCGACTTGTCACCACCTCCAGGGAGCGCCGTAAACCCGCAGCCTGCTAAAGGCCTATCACGTTAAACGGTACGGTAGCAAGAGGCCAAGCTGTGAAGCAGCCAGCGGGTCCCCGGGCCCCGGCGGGGAGCCGGGAGGCTGGGGCAGCCCCGGTCGCTCACCGCTTGGCCTTTGTGACTTCTGGGCGCAGGATCTGTGCCGGGAGCTGCACGAGAAGGTGGAAATCGTGGACGAGGAGCGGTACGACATCGAAGCGAAATGCATCCACAACACCAGAGAGGTAGGAGGAGGCTTCCGCACCAGCCCCCCGTCCCCTCCCCGTGCTGTGCTCGGCCTTGTCGTTGATTTCTGACTGAATCGGCTTTGGTTCTGATCCCGGCTGTGCCCCTCGCCTAGCTCATTAGCGTTACAGCCCAGACCAGAGACCCATGGCACCAGGTGCTGCCCAGGTACCATACGAGAATCCTGGCCCCAGAGAGCTCACAGCCTTAATGGACATGGGGGGGGAGGGGACACAGGGCAGGAGGGGAAACTGAGGCACAGAGCGGGGCTGCATCAGCAGAGCTGGGGACAGATCTCAGGCCCCCGGGTCCTGCTCCACAGCCGCATCCACCAGAGCATGCTGCCTCCTGATGCCTGGTGAGAGTAGTCTGGTGAGACACATGCCACTCGCACGCCCCGCCCCCCCATCCCAAAGAGAGCCCTTGGGCCAGATGGTCAGCAGGCGCCGCTGGCTCTGGAGGGCTCTGCCCCCGGCCTCTGCTCTCCTTGACCAGCTGCTCAGCACCTCGTGGGCCAACGGTGCCCATCAGTCAGGGCCTCTGGCTGCTGCAGGGGACTCCGCTCTCACTGCCAGTGTGTCTGGTGCTGGGCATGGGGGAGCCTTCTTGGGTTCGGGGCCGGGTGCCTTGGGGGAGAATCACGTCAGGTGCGTTCCTGGTCAGGCCTGGGAGGGTCCTGGTGCCCCCAGTGCATGGGGGGCTGGCTGCCCTGGTGCCCGGAGCAGGCAGAGGGGCTCGCTGCAACGCACCGTATCTCCCCTCCCTGCTGGCGACTCCCCCTTCTTCCTCGCCCCGCAGATCAAAAACCTGAAGCTGAAAGTGCTTGACCTGCGGGGCAAATTCAAGCGCCCGCCGCTGCGCCGGGTCCGGGTCTCCGCCGACGCCATGCTGAGGGCCCTGCTCGGCTCCAAGCACAAAGTCTCCATGGACCTCCGGGCCAACCTGAAATCCGTCAAGAAGGAGGACACGGAGAAGGTGGGTGTGGAACGCTCCAAGGGCCCGCACGAGGCCTGGGGCGTGCCCCTCGTGTGGGGCCCTCGGGCAGAGTGTGTATTTAGCTGCAGAGCCCCACACAAGGTGCATGCCCTGGGCTGGTCTAACTCTGGAGTATCTCCAGGGACTTCTCTCCCCACAGCTGCTCTCCGGGGACGGTACTGCCTGGGGCAGGTGGATGTAGGTGGGGAGGCGCCTGGCAGTTTTCCTGGGGGACAATGGGCAGAGAGCCAACCCTGAGGTCTGCGTATTGGACCAGATTCCTAGTCCAGCTCCCCGCGGCCCACGCACGATGCAGCCAGAGGCAGGAACCCAGGCCGTGATGCACCAGGCCCACTGTGCAATATTGCACGGGAGGGTGCATCGTCCAGATCATGGTGATTAGTTCACGCCCTGCAGCCGCACGGCTGGTGATCCCTGACTGTCTCATTAGTGCTCGTAAGATCCTCCAAGCCTTTCAATTCAGCCCCGGGGGAGGGCCCGCCAGGCCGCCAGCTCTGCACTGATCCAGGGGAAAGCAATCCGCAATCCGGGGGGGATGAACACGGCGGGTTTGGTCCTGCAGGAGCAGGGCTGCTCACACAACCCAGCCAAGGGGGTCTCTACATCGCAGGATCGGGGCCCTTGCTCACGGCTTCCCCAGCTGGCTCTAGGGGCATCAAAACCATAGAGAGCCGCCCCCACGCCAGCGTGGCTCCGGGGACGTGGCAGGTCCGAAGTGACTCCCAGCGAACAGGGATCCCTGGAAATATCACTTTTCTGCTCCCTGGGCCACCCGGCCCCGGCACTCCCGGGCCCCCACGAACCAGGCTGTTCGCGTAGGGCTCCTGCAGACGTGTGTCTGTCTGTCGGTGTAGTAGCACTGCAGGAGCTGCAAGGGTGAGGCTGCCCTGTGGGTCACACGGATCGGTTTGGGAGTCAGCCAGGACAGAAATAAAGGACAAAATCCACCTTCCGCGAGATGGATTCAGACATGCAGGAGCACACAGCTGTGTTGCCATGCAGGCCCCCTGCATTAACACCCCCCACCCACCCATTCATACGTGGCACATGTATGCCAAACCTACCAGACAAGCCCCCACCTACACACACACGTGTGCCTGCACACTCAGTGTGGGCGTAGAAAGTCTCTTGTCCCCTCTCTCTGGGCCCTGCTCGGAGGAGCTCCCTGGGTTGTGTGGTGGAGCCCTGACCCTGCGTCTCCCTGCAGGAGCGCCCGGTGGAAGTCGGGGACTGGCGTAAGAACGTGGAGGCCATGTCCGGCATGGAGGGCAGGAAGAAGATGTTCGATGCTGCCAAATCGCCCACGGGCCAGTGAAAGGTGCTGCGGCCCGCCCCCTCCTCCCGCGGTCCCTACAGCCCCGTCCCCGATGCCCCTCCTCCCGCGGTCCCTACAGCCCCGTCCCCGATGCCCCCCCCCCCCCCCGTCCCGCACGCC